TAAATCTTTTCTATTGTCATTAGCCTAGTTTTCGCTTTTTAAAAGTAGACCACACAGGAGATAGAAAAAAAGAATTCGCCTGGAACGAAATGGGATCATCATGATAGAAATATAATCCCCTTCACATCGCCACTCGAGCGTTTTCTAAACATAACTTGAACTAAGGTCTGTAGAGTCGTAAGTGTGTCAATAGTTGACGCATTTTGTGAAGTTTTTGTTATTTAAAACCTTTGTAATATATTCATTTCATTTTTTAAAAAAATATTGTAACCTTAACCCTTTTTTTCTTTTGTGTTACGTTAGCACAACGCTTACTCTATTGTTAGAAAGCTACATTAACATTTTAAAAAATATATGTTTTATTATGTAAATGTTTAAATAAATTAGAAAGCTAATTTAAGGTGCATTTGTTTTCTTTTGGCTAAAAAGTTATAAAGTATGAAATATATTTGAAAATATATTTAACAACTTATTACATTGAGACTGTATTAATTATATAATAAAATATAAAATAAAAGTGTAAATTTGATATTTAAAGACCTGAATAGAATATAACTTCATATTTTTGTACAGCTATTATTTTTGTTTTTAGCTTTTTCTGTCTTGTAAGCACTAAAGAAAATCTTTTTACCAGATCCATCATGGATTGGCTAGGCTCATGATGAGGAGCAACAGGATGAGAGATAGAACCCAACATATCTAAGACAGATCACTCATGAAAAATTCCAATAGTTCACACTCCGATTCCATTTCAGGTCTTTCAGACTATAGGAGATCTTTAATGTCGCGACTGGCAGTTCCTCTGTACTTTAATACTAGGGATATTAGGGGATAATAGGGATATATAAAAGAAACATTCAAAAATTTCTCTTAAGTCTTAATCAATATGGCTTTTAAAATATTTATTTCGTATAATTTAATATTATAGTTTACATTTTTAATTCATTTTGACTCATGTTTATAAATTGTATATTTTATCAAGTATCATCCATAAAATCGATAATCAATGAAATTTCAATATATCCCTTAATTAAGTTCTTACATCATTGTTGAATTTAATTCGCGATGAAAATATAGGTATAGACGATGGTTTTTTTCTAATTGTATGTATTGTATATATTTATAATAAGTACTCCGATGAAAAAAAAATAAATCAGACGGAGGTTTGGATTAACAAGAAAAATTAACAACTAAACCGTTAAAAACGTTTTAGAAATAAACTTATTTTATATATTCAAAATTTTTAATAATTTTATATATACAGATTCACTATTTTCACTCACTAAAATTTAAAATTCGAATTTCTTAAATCTAAAAAAATCTTTTAAAAATATCCTCTTAGTGCTAATAGGACAAAAGAAATTTAAAATAAAAGTGACCGTATGGATAAAACTAATGGCTTACTTTCTGCTCTTTTCCGGGTTTTTTTCACGCCTCTGACATCTAAGTAGGGTTAGTTTCTATAGATTCTCGGGAAGAATTTCCATAGGAAGTCTTTCTGGGAGGCACACCCTTAGCAGATTGTTCAAATGTTGGTTTGCCGTATCCCATAAAATAACCTCAAAAATGACCCTCCCGTTGGAAGATAGCCCCCGTGTTGCATTGCCTTATTCCGTTATCATATCAACCAACCAAAAACCGTTTTCGAGACTTTATTATATTTAATATATACTGAGTGGTCATTTTAATTAATCCACTGGATTAACTCAAAAAATATGCATCCTAGAAAACTTTATTAAATCAAAAATGTTAGATATCAAAGAGGCCGCAAGATGAGACTATCCGTTCCATCATAGATGACACTAGAATAGGTGAAAGTGGTGTCAACTTCACTTTCTTAAATAAAAATCGTAATTTTTTTTATTGCATATTATCACTGTACATAAAAAACAAATTTTTATTTAAAACATTTTTTCGAAAAATGTATTTATCGAAAGTTATGAGTGTTTGAAGTTTTATTCGACCACCGCCACATCGTTCACGCCTGAATCTATGGATATATGCGAATTTCACTAAAAAAAGGGGGAAGAAAAGGCATTAAAAATCATTAGGAAATTATTATTATTTGATGGAATCATTCTTTTTCTTCCAATAATGAACTCATACAAAACTAGTGCCACAACATACTAAAACCATCATGCTTATGATAAAAAGACGTTGGTCTCAATTCCACCAAATAATAATAATTTCCTAATAATTTTTTAAAGCATTTTTCTTCCTTTTCTCAGTGAAATTTACGGATATCCACAGATTTACGGATATGGCGACCGTACGAAACTTCAAATACTCATAACTTCGATAACTTTATATTTCGAAAAATATTTTAGATAAAAGTTTGTTTTTACAATCTTATTGTGTAATATGCAATAAAAAATGATGGTTTACATTTAAGAAAATGAAGTTAAACTATCATAGATAATATCATCATAAGTAAAACCGATAGCTCCATCTTGTGTGAATTGAT